GTCTCTCTAGTCTAGATACTGATGCATGCTGAATAATGTCTTGGCTTTTATTTATTTTATATATATATACATATATGAAGAAGATTCTAAAAGAAATGTAAAATATTATAATAAATATTCTATTGTATAATATTATTATTATTATTATTATACAACGGTCACATAAAGCTATTAGCTTTTGCATTTCATTTGCACAATTCGTTTTGTTTTTTTTTCTTTTATCATCTTCAGCGTATTTTATCCTGCAGTTTGACTGTGTATCTCTAGTCAGTTACGGATGCATGCTGAATAGTTTAATCTTGGCTTTTATTTCCCCATCATTATCTGATGCCAGCTTAACAAATGCATAAACTGCAGTGTGCAGATGTGCTTGTGTTTTTATCGGAGGATCTTAAACCATGTCCTTGATGTTGCATTGGACTGTGTGTGTGTGTGTAGGCAAGGGGCCGCCGCCGGACTGAAACGGCCTTTATTCGTGGCTTTGTTGAGTAGCGCGCTGCCCGTCTGAACACATTTGCTCACGTCCGTCAGTGACACGATGAAGAGAGCGGAACCTTCCGCTGTCGTTTATTTAATTAGGAGAACTTTAAACGGTTCATTTTAGGGTGGTTATGTCTTAATTAATCCTTTTAGCTGCATTTTAGTTGGGAGGCATTCCGTTGACTGGCAGTTTCACTGTAGAATAAAGACGTGCTTCCTTTTGAAAGTCATTTAATTTGACATGGCAACATAAAAGATAGAGGATGATAAACGCTGTTTATGTGAGCTCAGTCAAACGCCTCACCGTTGTACTTTTATTTAAATGCATCCCAACCTATAGAACACGTAGCTCAAAATATAAATTTCTAGAATTGCTTTACAGTTCTACAAATGTCAGGCAGCTTCAAGCCCTGTTTATGAATATATCACATTTGTATTGCACTTTTCAGGCATAAGTGAAACCGTCACGGGAGCCACATAATAATGGTAACTGTGCAATTTTAAGTCATAAATCCAATTACACAAATGCTTGTTTTCTGTAGCAATGGTTTCAAACACAATGTCTTAAATTACAATAATTGTAATAAATGCATCCTTTCCTCCAAACTAAGTTCCAATATCATATTTTTGTAATACTTCTGTTTAAATTGAACACAATAAAACCACACTGACATATATTAAGACAAGAGTCGCTATATGATTGTGTCCTCAGGACAAATGGCAGGCCGGGGCAAGTTATCACATTTTTAGCGCTCTTGTTTTAGTTTCAGCAACGCGGCTGGTAAATTTAGCGGTGGCTGGAAAAATGTTCCATTGAAGTGTTGTGGAAGTAATAACTCCTAATTGCTTTAATTTGATCACTTAATTTTAACGTGCACCACCTGTATGAGGGAATCTGTTCAAAATGAGAATAATCTTGGATAATTATTTCAACGATAAACACCATCTGGTTTACGAAAGCACTTCTGCACAGGTATTTCAGGTTAATTAAAACTTTGTTTCTACACTAAGTATCCAATATAAGCTCAA